AGTCATCTTGAAACTCTCGCACGTAGGATTCCAAACTACGGGGACGTCGAAAGTGGGAGCCTTCACATAAAAAAAATGGGTCTTCCATTCCCCCAAAGATAACTTCACACTCTTCACGAATTGGTAGGGAACTGATAAGTGTTCGTTTTGCACGATTTTTGCTTATCGAATCTTCGAGTTTTGGTCTTCATTCGTCCGAGTTTCGGCGTTATTTGTATATATTATTGCGTTTCTTGCTTTATTTCTATTATAGGTAAAGAGAAGCTATTTTTGCCGATTCGAAACGATTTTGAAAGCGAAGCCGAGAATCAAGTCAAACAAGAGCAAAAATTGCAATCAAGTGGATGGTGGCAGAGTTCGGTATTTTATGCATAACTTCTTCATACGACCTCCGATTGAGCTGATTCAAATGGATTTAGAAAGCCAACTGCAAGAGCTACAACTTTTGTGAAATGCAAAATTGTCAAATTCGGGCTACAAAAGGGTCAAAACAGAGTTTGAAGTTATTGCAGCGACCATATCGCGATATTACCTTCCATATCGCGATATGGGAGAAAACGAAACAGAGAGCTTGCATTTTTGCCATATCGCGCGATATGCCATTCCATATCGCGATATGGGGAGAAACGAAACAGAGAGCTTGCAATTTTACCATATCGCCCGATATTGCCGCTCATATCGCGATATGGGCCTTGGGATGCGTAAAAAATATCTAAAAAGGCAAAGCTTCCTCAAGAAGCTTTGCCTTACTATAAATAGAAGCAAGCCTCATTCTTCTACGGTTTCTGGGACGCTTCTTCGATCTTCTTCGGTTTTTCTCTTCGGTTCTCGCCAGTTCTTCGCGGGAAGCTTCGACGAGGGTTTCGACTCGGGTTTTTCATAAGCTTTTTCTTTACGTTTAGTTTATGATTTCTCGTGTTCTTCATTTTGATGCTATGTTTGTAATGAACTAAGCATTTTCTTTTAGGGAAATGAAACCTTGTATATATTGATTTTGATTTCCAGATCTGTGATCTATTTGTCGTTCTTTGATTCTGTTTATGTTTTCCTGTATTAAATGCTTTCGATTGTTTGGCCAACAGTTGAATTGATTGTAAATGGGAATGAACTCGAGAGAGGATTTCTCGTTTGATTTTAGGAAAACATAGCTCGGGTTATGGAAACGGAGACGTGATGCACCTCGGGTAGCCCTTAAGGACTTGACCTAAATGCTCTCTTAATATCAGGTTCTGAACGGAGACGTCGGACCTATGGGTAGACTCTAACTACACTGGAGACGGGGGTTAGGGTACTTTAGTGTCTGGGTTAGCGAACATAGAATTGACAATAGATTTCGATTTGTAGATCTTTATCGATAGTACACTGGTGGATTTTACCCTAGAAGCCATCACACGTCGGAATTCCTCGCTTTTATTGGCGGACCGTTGCTTTTATTATTGTTTCTTTCTTTTTAGCTTCATCCCCCACCATTTCGATCGTCTAGATAAAGTTTAGGATAGTATAATTACGGTACTTGGTAAATTTAGGAACTTAATTCCCTGTGGATCGATATCTGGAATTCACTATTCTACAAAACGCGATACTGTACACTTGCGGTTTTTCATACATAGGTTTTACGCGTATCAGGAACACGAGGATGGAAACAAAAGAAAGGAATCTTAGTGGGCCGATGTAACGTAAATAACGCCTTAAACATACTCACAGTAACTGGAAGACCTACTCGAACCACTCTATAGTGAAACGCCTCGAACATCAGAATAGCAGTGGGAGTGAGCTGACTATACCCTATCTTGAATTCCTCGCAAACCTTCAACAAGGTCGGATGCGGAGTAATCTGAGATGTACACGTCAAATACCCCAAAAATACCGTATGAAACCCATCGGGTGGCGAGTACAAACGGTCGCCCTTCTGAGGCAACAACAACTCGACATTACTTGGCGCTCCAGATAAACGACGAATAGAGAGCAAATGCTCTTCCGTCAACACACTATCAAAATTAACTAAGTCCAAATTAATTGGCTTCTTTTTCTTTTGCCTCCTCGTATCAACCTCAACATCACCCGGCGGAATATCATCTTCCTCCCCCTCTTCATCCGTCGGCTCAACTTCACTACTTGACACAACATGATCACTCGCCAAAGGGGCTTGATTAGAATCGTCACTATCGCTCCCAAAATCCACGATTTGACGTCGAGAATAACGCCTACTAGCCACAACTCCATCTACTTGCTCACCACCGTGAATACTCGTTTCTACATCGTCACTCCAAGATTCAATGACTTCTAGCCTCACGGCACTCCGAACATTCACACTATCTTCGACATCGATTTGCTCCTCATTTTGCCCGACCCGATCGAAAAAACAGCGCCGAAAAATAGCTCCGGACGCGCCCTCACGCGCGCGCGTCCCCTCGGATGACGCGCTTTCACGCGCGTTAACCCCCCCTTCCGACGCGCGCTCACGCGCCCTAAAACTCCCCAGCGACGCGCGCGGACGCGCGCCGTCAGTGGGCAGCCCGCGCGCGTCACCAACACCACTGCCCTCCAACGACGCGCGCGCACGCGCTCCTCCATTGGGCAGTGCGCGCGCGTCAGCATTGCCCCCCCTACCTACCGGCACGCGCGCGTCGGGACACGGCCCAATCCCGCGCGCGCGTTCCCCCAAACATGACGCGCGGCCGACAGCAGCAGGCCCACGTGGCCTGCTCTCTCTCTCCCTCCCCTCCTCGGTCCGGGTGCAAGCCGTCGGCTCCATGGCTTCACTCGGCTCCGTCTCTGCATGAAAACGCGCGCCCCTACACTGATTTTGACGCCCGGCTACACGGCTCGAGCCGACTCCGGTCTCCGAGCCACCTACTTTGCACCCCTTCCCCATAGTCCGTGAACCTACTACTGCAGATCCGATTTTCGCACCAGAAGCTACAGGCTTTTCGCGTTCCATACCCACGGTACCAAAAGTTTTCTTGCCCCCTTCAACCGGGTCTCGAAGTTTAATTCGCAAAGGTTTCGAATTACCCGGACTCGACATGAGAAGAAATTTTTCCCCAAAAAAGCAAAACAAAAATATTTTTCTTCTCTACCGCTATAGAATAAAAAAAAAAGCAGAAAAGCACAGAAGAATACCTACAGTTAAAAATACATACCCATATTTATTACGCAGAAGTTGGAGATCAATTCTTTCCACCACAAAAGGAGTCTATTTATCTGGCCCTGGTATAATATTTAAAACCCTTAAATATATACCTCGCTGCCAAATAAATACAATTATCCCTTATTTAAATTAAGGAATTAATTCACAGCCAACGGAAACAATTCAATCAACGCCACAATTAACTCTCGACACGACCCGGATCCCTCTACACACGTCCCCGTCTCGAATCGAGGGTTGGGGGGCTTAATGATATACCTAAATGGGCCGGCCCAATGGACCCTCAAATTTATCTACCAATTAGGCCCACTACACAAAAGCCCAATCACACACAAGTGGGCCCATTACACGAAAGCCCAAGCTCCTTCAAAGTAAGGCTTGGGCCCAACAAAGTAAGCCCAACCCATTCAACGATATATAAATAGATGTTTTACTCATTTGTTAAGGTACGTTTCCATTATTCACCAACAAGCTAGAGTTTAATTCTCTCTAACATCTCGGCAATCCGTATATCTGACTTGAGCGTTGGAGGGGTTTCCGCCGGATCAACCCCCGGCGTAGTTCACGTGTGTTCATTTCGCAGGGACCTCAGGATCATCAACTTGTCAAGCTACTGATCCGCTTTGCTCTCCCAGCTCATTTTCTAAACCACCCTAGGTGAGCTATATTTTAGCATCATCAAAAAGGAAGATATTTTAATCTATAACCCTAGATCCAAATCTAGGTGCATTTTTGATAAAAAAAAATTTGCGGTGTCTTTTTTTTTTTAGTTTTATGCCATCCGCTTTGCTGTTTAAATTTTTAATTTATTTTCTAATCTTACATATAAAAGGAAGATATTTTGAACTATAAACCTAAACCTAGGGTCATTTTAGTCAATTTTTATTTTTACAGTTTTTTGTTTTCTTTCAAACGATGTTGAACACAAAAATCGTCCACTCCGAAGAAAATTAAGTACACAATCTTCCTTATGTCCTTAATTCTTTTTTTCTTTCTTCACCCCCTCCCTGGTAGTTTGTTAAGAGAACCCATGATCTATTCTCTTCCAATTGGCCTATACATGACTCATTTCATCTACGGTTACAATTTTCCGTCTTTCATCCCCTTTTACACCCGTACTATAAGATTTCACCCGCCATTTCTCACTTCATTTCTACAAGATTTTCTTACCAAATTCGAATGCAGAGGAAAATGGCAAACAACATAGATAGGACAAAGACAAGCATAATCTCTCTTGAAAAGTGACCCGGGCAGTTATGTATTGTGTTTCCGTATTAGGATTAATATTTGTATTTGATTTGTTATTACAAACGTCTAATATCAAATTTCGATCAATCTTTTTGGTGTTATTATTGTTAACTATTTGATGTATTACTTAGTGTAACACCCCACATTTTCGAAACCCTAATCCCTAACCAAAATTCCATAACCCGAAAATTCTCATGTAGAAACCATTAGGAATTTATTTACCTTACTAACTTAATTTCTCTACGTGCCTTATTTGCTTAGACTAATAATCCTTATATGCCGATTTGATTATATGCCTTATGTGGTAGGAATTTGTTGAATAAATATGTGCCAACTTTATTTCGATAATCATGTGCTTAAGTGGATTGATTATTGATAATAATCTGCTAGATTATTTTAAGTGACTTATGTGTTATAGTTAATTAATTTGTGGCATTTTAATTTAAAGTGTCATATAATACATAGTATAATACATGCATGCATATATATATATATATATACACGTATATGCCCATGTAGCTACATGCCTATGCATACATACATAGGTGAAATACATATTTAAATATATATATGTGTGTATTTTTGGATGTGTGTATGTGTAGGAATTAATTTGTGATTTTATTAATTAGTAAATAAAGTAGAAAAAGATGCATGACACTTGGCAATGAGTGAGGATTTACACTAATCCTACACTCAAGCATGCTAAGTAATCTCAATAGACACTCTCATGTCTTCTTCTCTCTCCACCTATACCCCCACTTGTCTTCTCTTCACCATCACCACCGAAGCACCACCTTCTCCATCGGCCAACACCTCAAAATTCTTCAAAAATGAAATAGAGAAATCAAAATGCAAATCCCCTATATAAGCTTCACCCTTGAATATGCTAAGAACACCATAAAAAAGACTTGCCCTCTTACGGGAGATTTAAACTCCTCCCAACTTGATATCAAAGGTCTCACCTTCTCCATTCAACTAGCTTGGTTCAATCTTGGAGCCACTTCTTGAAGGAGGTAACATTGTATCCTCGTGTTCTTCATCTTCTTCATCCTCCTTTTCTTTCTTTCTCTAAAAACCCTCTTTTCTATTGAAGGTTTTCATTCTTCGGCCAACACTCTTTGGTAGGTAAGAAATCTCGAATTTCTTGCTGCAATCGAAGGGTATCATAGTATGGAAAAGGATTTTCAAAACTACCTAAAAGTTTTCCTCACTTTTCGAAAAATTAGGGCTTTTTGTGTAAAATCCGAAATCTTGTGCTAATCTCGATATTTGTGTTCTTGCATGTCTAATCCATGTTATAATATGTGAATCTAAGTATTTTGTGTTTGAAGGTTTAATATTTCTAATTTTTGGGAATTTTGGAAAAAGAAAATGAGTTTTTCAAAATTTTTGGGTTGCATGTGTAGATCTATGAATCTTTAGGACTAATCTGCCATTTCTTGAAATTTCGGCATGAAAAATGTTTTCATCTTTAAAATCTCAGTAGGAGTAAGTAGAATTTTGTTATTTTCTATTTTGGCCATAGTTTGGGATAAATATTTGTTGGAAAAAATCATTTTTGGCTTCAACATTACTTGCCGAGTAATTTAATTTTTATAAATCCAATTTTTGAGAAAACTGCAAAATTCTTTTTGCATCTGTTCATTTAGTCAGTTAGGCAGCCTATAATTAAATTTGAGAATTTGTAGATGCCATTTGCTAGTTTTTCAAAATAATGGTTGTGCATGTGTCTTAAATGGAACTTTTGTGTTTTAATCATTATGCCTTGAGTATTAATTGTGAGAATGTGAACTTATGGTTAAAAATCTGCAGCTGATCTATGTTAAGGGGCTGTAAGAAATTTTAATCCATTAAATGAGTAAAAGTGGGAGAAATCCCATTAATGAAAGCTAGAAATGTTGGTGCTTTAAAGGCATGGTTTGATAATTGAATGCTAATTTAAGTGTGTTTTGGGGCTGCATGTTATGTGTACGTGTGTGTGTGCCGTGTGTGTGTGTGCTGCTATATAAATATAAAATATGATGCTATAATAATTATGTGAATTATGTGCAATACTTAAGTGGTTATATATATATATATATATATATATATATATATATATATATATATATATATATATATATATATATATATATATATATATATATATATATATATATATATATATATATATATATATATATATATATATATATATATATATATATATATATATATATATATATATATATATATATATGTGTGTGTGTGTGTGACTGTCGTGTGTATGTGTGTATTATGTGGATAATTCAATTTTGTTTGCATGTTCGTTGATTGATATTTGTGATGTCGTAATGTGGTCGTTTTGTAGTAGAGTCTCATTCGTCTCACGGTCTTGCATAAAAAGAGATTTCATTTTTACGAAAGGAAAGGTTAATGGAATGCTTGGGTTGGATAAGTTGGGATACGGAGGGCCGGTATCCCAACCATAGTTACTATAGATAAAGGGGTGGTTTGATTCCACCAAAAGAACAGGCTCAGAATAATATGCTTATCATCCAAGTAAAGAAGTTAATTTTTCACGGATCCGAACAACAGAAAATGTTTTCATTCATGCATTTGCACGAAAAGGGTAAATCGGTAATTTTCATCATTCGAGTCGATAAAAGGGTAAATTGGTAATTATCAGTACTTGCGTCGATTTACGTTCTTAAATGATATTTTGTGTTTATGTGTGTGTGTTCGTTTTCCGGCGAATGGTAAGGTGTGATACTTATGTGTATGTACTAATATAAGTACGTAAAACCATATTTTAAAACCTCGTTATCCATTCGGATGTCTAACTGGGCTTAATAGCTCAAATAGATACTTCTTTGATTGCAGGTAGTAGTAGTAATCCCGCATCGGAATGGACCGAGTAGTGGATCGGAGTCTTGGCCGGAGGCTTTTGGAGGGTCGTACGAGGGGTCTATAAACTGTGCTTATTTTATTTGGGTGATGTAACTTATAAATGATTTCCGTATTTTCTGTTTCTCTAAAACTCTAGTATTTCCTCACGAGGGGATTAAACTCTTATTTTGATATGGGCCTTATTTTGATATTAATATAGTTGGTCCGCTTATTTTGGTAATTATATTTCTTACCCGAAAATCCCTATTCACCAAATACCTTAAACTTTGATTTCTTCTCGAGCCCAAATTAGAACCTATAGTTAGATAAACGTAGCACTCGAATAATAATCTCCCTTTTTGAAGTTACGTCGAAACGAAAAAAATTGGAACGACCAAAATCACCCAAAAAGCTTTTCGAAATTTTCAAGGTTCCCAAAAGTTTTCAAAATGACCCAAAAGGATATTTTTAGAGATTACATTTTTGGTCCTATTCGAAAGTTTTAAAAATTTCAAAGAGATCCTTTTTGCTTCCGCTATCTAAATAAAGTTTTCCGATAAACCGGTTCGATTTATCGCCCGACCCGAGGAGGGTGCTACAGCGGTGGTATCACAGCATTGTTTATAGAAAACTCGTACGAACCAAAAGCCGGGCTTGAAGACTTACGAGACACGATAAACTCGTCCATCCGGCAACGTTATGTGTAATATATGTCTTATTTATTTATGTGCTTTAATTATAAATTGCATAATAGGTTATAGAAATTATGGCAAGACGACTAACCCGGAGTTCTCAAGGCACTCCCACTAATGAACCAACCGACCATAACCAAACCATCCATAACCTCTCGAACCTTATTCGAGAACAAGCCCAAAACCACCAAAGACAAATTGACCAACTTCTTCGACGAAACCATCCTCCTCCGCCTGCTCCTCAAGCAGCACCTCATGCAATTTACGAACGATTTCTCAAGATGAACCCCTCCGAATTTCATGGTGGAACCGATCCGACAATAGCCGAAGAATGGGTCAAATCCCTAGAAGTGATCTACGACTACATGCAAATGACCGATCGTGATCGTGTGCATTGCGCTCTTTTCCTACTTCGAAATGAAGCTCGTCACTGGTGGGAAGGAGTCAAAGAAGGAGTCGACCTCGACACTATGCAATGGACCGACTTCAAACTACAGTTCTTCGAAAAATATTTCTCCAAAGACGTACGTGCCCACAAACTGAAGGAATTTCTAGAACTTCGTCAAGGTGAATTGCCAATGCTCGAGTACATCCGTCGCTTCGAACATGGCTGTCTCTACGCCCCATTCATCGCTCGAGACCCCGAAGAGAAAAAGAATCACTTCATCCGTGGCCTACAACCAGAGATCCGACGAGATATCCGCATGTCCGACGCCTTGACTTTCAGACAACTAGTGGACAAAGCCCTGATGGCAGCCCAAGACGAAAAGGAGATCCAACAGAATCGTCGATCCCAAGGCACGAGTCAACGCCCGTGGAAGAAGGCTAACTTCGGCAACCACAAATTCAAGGGCAACCGAAGTCAACCATCAAATCAATCTGGACTCCTACAGCCGCCCAAACCAACTTGCCAACAATGCGGGAAAAATCACACTTTGGAGCTTGTGTACAAGGGACGAACATGTGCTTCAGATGTAGAAAGACCGGACACATAGCAAGGGATTGTCCGAACGCTCTGAATCGTGCCCAAGGACGTGTGTTTGCTATGACCAAGGAGCAGATTGAGCAAGATTCCTCAATGATAGCAGGTACTATATACATCTTCGACGAACCTGTCTATGCCTTAATTGATTCCGGTTCTACTCACTCTTTCATATCGGAGAATATGATTAGAAGCCTTAAGATCAAACCTAGTCACTTGAATCACGACTATAGCATACTCATCCTTTTTGGCGAAGAAATGATCTCGAACCTAGTGGTGACCAACTGTTCAATCCGAGTTCATTCGCAACCTATGAATTTTGACCTCATTGCCCTTCCGATCCGCAATTTTAATACCATTCTAGGAATGAACTGGTTAACCGAATATAAAGCCCAAATTGACTGTGCCCCGAAAACAGTTATTTTTCCTCTTCCAAACGGCCAAATCCTAAAATTCCAAAGGCAAGCCAAAACTTCGATTCCGATTATCTCAGCATAAAAGCCGTCAAACTCATTCATAAAGGGCATTTCGGCTATCTGGTAGATGTCGTGAATCCCGAACCCAACACCAAACCTCAATTGTCCGAAGTCCGAACAGTACAAGAATTTCACGACGTATTTCCCGACGATATTCCCGGACTTCCACCCGAACGAGAAATTGAGTTCAAAATCGATCTGATTTCCGGAGTCGCACCAATTTCCAAAGCCCCATATCGCATGGCCCCACTTGAATTAAAAGAATTGAATGTTTAGATCCAAGAGCTGCTCGACAAGGGTTACGTTCGACCTAGTCACTCACCAGGGGGAGCCCCAGTGTTGTTTGTAAAAAATAAAGACGGATCCCTTCGTCTTTGTATTGATTATCGAGAGCTCAACAAAATCACTATCAAGAATAAGTACCCTCTTCGCCGAATTGATGATCTGTTCGACCAACTCCAAGGTTCTTCTGTCTTTTCCAAGATTGATCTTCGATCCGGATATCACAACTCCAAATCAAAGAGTCCGACGTTCCGAAAACCGTCTTCCGGACGAGATATGGCCACTACGAATTCATCGTCATGCCTTTCGGTCTAACTAATGCCCCCGCCGCATTTATGGATCTCATGAATCGAGTTTTTCACCCGTATCTAGACCAATTCGTAATCGTCTTCATCGACGATATTCTCATTTACTCCAAGAATGAAGAAGATCATTCCTCCCACCTCCGCACCGTTCTCCAAACTCTTCGATCTCATCAGATGTACGCCAAATTCAGCAAGTGTGAGTTCTGGCTATCCAGTGTCTCTTTTCTTGGCCACATCGTCTCAGCAAGTGGAATCTCCGTCGACCCCAGCAAGATAGAAGCAGTTTCCAATTGGTCAATTCCGAAGAATGCAAACGTGGGTAATTGTCGACCGATTAACCAAGTCCGCCCATTTTCGGGTCAGGTAACAATTTTGGGGACAAAATTATTACCCGAAAATTCTCACGTAGAAACCATTAGGAATTTATTTACTTTACTAACTTAATTTCTCTAAGTGCCTTATTTGCTTAGACTAATAATCCTTATATGCCGATTTGATTATATGCCTTGTGTGGTAGGAATTTATTGAATAGTTATGTGCCAACTTTATTTCGATAATTATGTGCTTAAGTAGATTAATTATTGATAATTATGTGTTAGATTAATTTATGTGAATAGATGTGCTATAGTTAATTAATTTTGTGGCATTTTAATTTAATTCCCTAAAGTGCCTTATAATGTCTAGTGAAATACAGGCATGCATACATGTATATATACGTATATACATATATAGTCATATGCCTATGCATGCTAGACATACATAGGTGAAATGTGTGTGTGTGTATTTTCGGATGTGTGTGTAGGAATTAATTTGTGATTTTATTAATTAGAAAAATAAAAAGATGCATGACACTTGGCAAAGAGTGAGGATTTACACTAATCCTACACTCAAGCATGCTAAGTAATATAATCTCAAGAGACACTCTCATGTCTTCTTCTATCTCCACCTATACCCCCACTTGTCTTCTCTTCACCATCACCACCGAAGCACCACCTCCTCCATCGGCCAACACCTCAAAATTCTTCAAGAAAAAAATAGAGAAATCAAAATGCAAATCCCCTATAAGTTTCACCCTTGAATATGCTAAGAACACCATAAAAAATACTTGCCCTCTTACGGGAGATTTAAACTCCTCCCAACTTGATATCAAAGCTCTCACCTTCTCCATTCAACTAGCTTGGTTCAATCTTGGAGCCACTTCTTGGATGAGGTAACATTGTATCTTCGTGTTCTTCATCTTCTTCATCCTCCTTTTCTTTCTTTCTCTAAAAAACCCTCTTTTCTTTTGAAGGTTTTTCTTTCTTCGGCCAACACTCTTTGATAGGTAAGAAATCTCGAATTTCTTGCTGCAATCGAAGGGTATCATAGTATGGAAAAGGATTTTCAAAACTACCTAAAAGATTTCCTCAATTTTCGAAAGATTAGGGCTTTTTGTGTAAAATCCGAAATCTTGTGCTAATCTTGATATTTGTGTTCTTGCATGTCTAATCCATGTTATAATCTGTGAATCTAAGTATTTTGTGTTTAAAGGTTTAATGTTTCGAATTTTTGAGAATTTTTGAAAAAGAAAATGAGTTTTTCAAGATTTTTGGGTTGCATGTGTAGATCTATGAATCTTTAGGACTAATCTGCAATTTCTTAAAATTTCGGCATGAAAAATGTTTTCATCTTTAAAATCTCAGTAGGATTAAGTGGAATTTTGTTATTCTCTATTTAGCCTTAGTTTGGGATTAATATTTGTTGGGAAAATCATTTTGGCTTCAACATTTCTTGCCGAGTAATTTAATTTTTATAAATCCGATTTTTGAGAAAACTTCAAAATTCTTTTTGCATCTGTTCATTTAGTCAATTAGGCAGTCTATAATTAAATTTGAAAATATTTAGATACCATTTGCTATTATTTCGAAATATTGGTTGTGCATGTGTCATAAATGGAACTTTTGTGTTTTAATCATTGTGCCTTGTGTATTAATTGTGAGAATATGAATTTATGGTTAAAAATCTGCAGCTGAACTATGTTAAGGGGCTGTAAGAATTTTTAATCCATTAAATGAGCAAAAGTGGGAGAAATCCCATTAATGAAAAGCTAAAAATGTTGGTGCTTTAAGGGCATGGTTTGATAATTGAATGCTAATTAAAATGTGTTTTGGGGGTGCATGTTATGTGTATGTGTGTGCTGCTGTGCGTGTGTGTGTGCTGCTGTGTGTGTGTGAAATATATAAATATATAATATGATGGATGCTATAATAATTATGTGAATTATGTGATATACTTAAGTGGTTCTATATATATATGTGTATGATATGTGTGTGATTGCCGTGTGTATGTGTGTGTTATGTGGATAATTGAATTTTGTTTGTATGTTCGTTGATTGATATTTGTGATGTCGTAATGTGGTCATTTTGTATTAGAGTCTCATTCGTCTCATGGTCTTGCATAAAAAGAGAGATTTCATTTTTACAAAAGGAAAGGTTAATGGAATGCTTGGGTTGGATAAGTCGGGAAACGGGGGGCCGGTATCCCAACCATAGTTACTATAGATAAAGGTGTGGTTTGATTCCACCAAAAAACGGGCTCAGAATAATATGCTTATCATCCAAGTAAAGAAGTTAATTTTTCACGGATCCGAACAACAGAAAATGTTTTCATTCATGCATTTGCACGAAAAATGTAAATTAGTAATTTTCAGCATTTGAGTCGAAAAAGGGGTAAATTGGTAATTTTCAGTAATTGCATCGATTTACGTGCTTAGATGAAATTTCGTGTTTGTGTGTGTGTGTTCGTTTGCCGACGAATGGTAAGGTGTGATGCTTATGTGTATGTACTAATATAAGTACGTAAAACCATATTTTAAAACCTTGTTATCCATTCGGATTTCTTACTGTGCTTAATAGCTCATATAGATACTTCTTTGATTGCAGGTAGTAGTAGTAATCCCGCATCGGAATGGACCTAGTAGTGGATCGGAGTCTTGGCCGGAGGCTTTTGGAGGGTCGTACGAGGGGTCTATAAACTATGCTTATTTTATTTTGGTGATGTAACTTATAAACGATTTCCGTATTTTTCGTTTCTCTAAAACTCTAGTATTTCCTCACTAGGGGAATTAAACTCTTATTTTGATATGGGCCTTACTTTGATATTAATATAGTTGGTCCGCTTATTTTTGTAATTGTACTTCTTACCCGAAAATCCCTATTCACCAAATACCTTAAATTATGATTTCTTCTCGAACCCAAATTAGAACCTATAGTTAGATAAACGTAGCACTCGAATAATAATCTCCCTTTTTGAAGTTATTCCAAAACGAAAGATTTGAAACGACCAAAATCACCCTAAGAAGTTTTCGAAATTTTCAAGGTTTCCAAACGTTTTCAAATGACCCAAAAAGAGATTTTTAGAAATTACATTTTGGTCTTACTCGAAAGTTTAAAAAATTTCAAAGAGATCCCTTTTGCTTCCGCTACCTAAATAAAGTTTTCCGATAAACTGGTTCGATTTATCGCCCGACCCGAGGGGGGTGCTACATATTGATTTTATATATTTCAAAATATAACAATGCTATTCTAAATCTTTACTATTAAATTTGTTTACTCACTTTATTTAATACCAAAAATTAAGAATATCAAATATTTTGTTTAAAAGGTATAATGATCCTATGTACTATATATCGTATTCACTAATAAATATTTCTCTATAACTTTGATAAATATAATTAAGTACATGTATAGAGCAACTCCAACTCAAAAATATCTAAATGGTTTTGCAAATATTTATGTGATATTTAATATGCTCCAACCATAGGTATTAAATGGTTGTTAATTAAAAATAATTAAATTGATATATATATCTAATTGCCATGTCATTTTCTAAATGGACATTGAGGTGGTTAAATTCATAACTCATGTTTGATATTTTATTCCGCATGAAGTATTTTTACATTCTGAAAGATGAACATAAAAATACAACCCTTATTTCATAACTGTATTGGAATTAAAATTACTATTTTTTAGTATATAAATAGTGGTTAAAGGTTTTTTTTTTTGAGTAAATAGTGGTTAAAGGTTTTGATAACCCATTTAATAACCCCACTCGAGGTATTGTACAATATTAATCGGCAAATCAGTAGTTTATGCGATCCATTTTTAGTTACAAACTCAATAAGACATTTATATATTTTGTAAAAGACTACAATTATATAACAAGTAATTGTATAATTGTATAACAAGTATTTTGTAAAAGACTACAATTATATAACACCCCCACATATTCATAATTACCAAAATTCCCCTTATGTTTGTTTTCGTCTTACATCGACCCCCTTACAGTATGACTTTTCACGGAATATTTTTAGTACTTGGAATATTCCCCAAAAAATGTTGATTCTACTCTGCACACGCGACATTTCATTATGGTACATTTTAAAGAGAACAATTACCCTAAGGGGCACTTTACACGGAATCTTAATTTATTCTTATTTAAGAACACCTTCACAACTTTTTAATATTACCTTTACTTCCCCTAAGGATTTTTTTTTTGTATTTAAAAAGTAGGAAAAAGGAAATGTCACATCTACAAGGATAGAATCCACATTGTTTTGGGATATTACGTGGAATAAAAAATATTCCGTAAAAAATCACACTTTAAGGGGGTCGTGTAAGATAGAAACAAACATCAGTGGAATTTTGGTAATTATCGATAAATGGGGGTGTTTTCCATAATTTAGCCAAAGTTCATGAGGATTTTCATAATTTATCCTATTAACAACGATTATTGTTCGTTTTACGTCCTAACGTTCTTATACCCTTCTAATATTTTAAATAATTTTAATGTTAGTTTGATAATTTAATTAAATATTAATTACAAATATATTTAATATGTATTTTTGGATGCTTCAACTACCTCATATAAGGAAGTTGATATAAAGGTCGCAAGATTGAATATATAATTGTTTTTTATAAAAAAATAATAGATCATTGCTAAAAACATTGATACAAAATCAGAATTAGGATTATAATTAATGTTCTTTGAATTAGTATTAGTATTAAAATTAGGATTATGATTCGGATTATTATAGTATTAGAATTAATATTAGGATTAAGTTTAGAATTATGATTAATATTAGTATTAGAATTAAAATTAAGATTATGATTATGATTAGTACTACAATTAGTGATATGTATTAGTATTAGGATTATAATTAGCATTAGGATTAGGATTATGATTAGAATTATAATTAGCATTAACATTAGCATTAGCATTAGCATTATTAGTATTAACATTATTAGGGTTAGGATTAGAATTATGATTAGTGTTAGGAATAGGAATAGGATTAGGATTATGATTATGATTGGGATTAGAATCATGATTAGTGTTATGAATAGGATTAGGAATATGATAAGGATTTGGATAATATTAGGATTCCAATTATAATTACCATTAGCACATCCATAGTAGCATTAACATAAAAATTAGTATTAGCATTCGTACATGTAAATTACCATTAACATTAACAATATTAACATATTAGTATCAGTAATAGAATTAATATTTGTATTAGTAATAGTAGTAGTATTAGTATTAGTATTAGTATTAGTATTAGTATTAGTATTAGTATTAGTATTAGTATTAGTATTAGTATAAGTATTAGTATTAGTATTAGTATTAATTTTCATATTAGTATTAGTATTAGTATTGACATTAACATCAATATTAGTATTAGTATTAGTATTAGTATTAGTATTGGTATTAGTATTAGTATTAGTATTAGTATTGGTATAAGTATTAGTATTAGTATTAGTATTAATATTAATATCAGTATTACTATTAATATCTGTATTACTATTAATATTAGTATTAATATTACAATTATTATTAATATCAGTATAAGTATCATTATCATTATCATTACCATTATCAGTATCAGTATTAGTATCAGTATCAGTATCTTTATCGGTATCGGTATCAGTTTCAATATCAGTATCATTATTAGTATCACTATCACTATCACTATCACTATCACTATCACTATCACTATCACTATAACTATCACTATCAATAACAATATCAATATCAGTACCAGTATCAATATCAGTATCACTATCACTATTTTTATTAGTATTTTTATTAGTATTTTTATTAGTATTATTATCAATATCAACATTAGTATGAGTATCGGTATGAGTATCAGTATCAGTTTCTGTATCACTTGCAGTAACGATATTGGTATGAGTATCAGTATCCGTTAGAGTATCAGTATGACTATCAGTATCCGTATCAGTATCTGTATTAGTTGCAGTATCGGTATCAGTATCAGTATTAGTATTAGTATTATTATAGTCTTAGTCTTAGTCTTAGTATTCGTATCAGTATGGGTATTAGTATTAGTATTAATATCAGTATCAGTTTCGGTATCAGTTACA